GCGGGGCACACGCGGGCCCCTGCCCGCCTGGCAGCGCTGCGGCCCGGACTGACCTGCCTGCCCGCGAGCCCCGGCTGCCGGAGAGCGCCGGGCAGGAAGGGCGTTTGCTTATTCAAAGGGCGCTGGAGATTGCTGCTCCATTTGAACGCCTGCCTGGGGGTGGGGGGCGGATGTGATAGCCGCGGAGCGGGTATTTCCGAGCTGCTGCTGTTCAGAGAAGTCTTTCTGCCCGGATCCCAGCTCCAGCCGACCCCTCTTCCGGAACTGATTTGCTAAGCAAATGCTGGGAGCGAGCTGCGAGGTAACGAGAGCTGCGAGCTCACTAAGCAAATCCTGCCCTGCAGATGCGCAAATCAGATCCCCGGCCGGAGCCCTGGAGCCGGGAGCAGCAGCAGGCGGCAAGTGGCAGGGAGGTAGAGCAATAACATCGTGCAGCGGTGCCTGCGGCTCTCCGGGAGGGCCCGCTTGCCACCTAATTAAATCATACAAATAAAAGCACTGAAAGCCCCCCCTGCCCCCCAGCGACCCGGGGCTGTCCACTGAAAAAGGCTCCGGCAGGCTTTATTAAGCACGAGAGCACCAAAGACACCAAGCGCCCCGGATGCCGCCTGGACCCGGGTCCACCTGTTGCTGGGATTTGCAAGGGGTTGGATCGGCCCGAGCTCGCGGCCCCCTGACTTCCCTTCTGGGTTTCAGCCCGTAATGACAGGTCGTGGCGGGAGGCTGCGCTGGGCAGCCCCGAGGAGAGGATGGAGGAGGCTCCTTCTCAGCCTCCAGCCCCGCGGGAGCCCGGCAGCTGAGGGCAGACAGCGCCCGGGGCCCCGGCGGCCTTATTGGGCCTTGGAGAGAAAAGCCAAAGATGTGCTCGAGTGATGCTGAGGGCGCAGGAATTAGGCTAGAAATCGCTGGCGCAGCTTCGAGCAGCCGCAGGGTCAAGGCCGGGCTCTGAACGCATGTGGCTGATGTGAAGGGAGGCTCGCTGTGGTCTCTTTCTGCCAGGGGAACCTGGCACGGGCCAGCCCAGCTGACAGGGGGGTGAGAGCTTCCCCAACAGCCCTTTCGGGATGGGAGGAAACCTCGGGTGAAAACGTGGTTGGCGATCATCAGTGTGGAGACGTGACCTTTAGCTTTGCCATTGATCCCCCCTCCCTCTCCCCCAGCCCAGGCACCTTCTCGTCCTAAAAGCTGCCCTGGCCAAGTCCCAGGGCCAGGTTGCTTGGTTGGTTAGTTTGATTGTTGTGTTTCCTGCTTAGTCTCCCCAGAGCTGAAGGATCGCAAGGAGGATGCGAAAGCCATGGAAGACGAAGGGCAGACTAAAATCAAACAGCGGAGAAGCCGGACCAATTTTACTCTGGAGCAGCTGAACGAGCTGGAGAGGCTGTTCGATGAGACCCACTACCCGGACGCCTTCATGCGAGAGGAGCTGAGCCAGAGGCTGGGCTTGTCCGAGGCCAGAGTGCAGGTAGGGCACCGATTACTGCTGCAACGTGTGTGTGTGTCTGCGTCTGCCACACAGGGTGACAAGATGTTCAACCCCAAATTCTGTCAGCCCCTCCTGGATTGCGTCCCTGATCTTATTTTTTTAACACACATTCTCAGCCCTGGGCCGATTTGCACCCAGCATCTCTGTAACCAGTTTAATCGTGGTTGAACTCCCTTCCCTGCATGCCAGCCATTTATAAGCATGTTAAATAACGCTTCTGCTTTGACTGACTGTAAGAATTACAGCGGATATTTTGTGCCTGTGAACTGTTAGTCCTATAGTCTGCTCCTGGCTCCGGGCTTCCCAGGCGGATGTACCAATTACGTTTATAGATGTACTGACTATAAAATAAATTAGTAACTGCTAAGTGCAGATATTTACAGTCAGGGTTTTTACCGGTGGTTCTTAAATCTTTGGGGAAGCAGCAGAGTGGCTGCAAAAGTACACGAGCTGGCTCTGTTCGGGTTTATTAAAAATAACATCTCTAATGGGAAAAAGTGATTTAAAACGCTCTTTTGACTGAGAAACCCAAATTCTCTCCGCCCCCCTTTAATTACCTCGACGTTTAATTCCAGTCTGCTCTCCCAAGGTTTAGCAAATCAGCTCGTCTGCTCTTTCCCATTACTTACCTCTTTCATAGTAGTGGAGGAGGTTTGCCCAGATAGACAGGAGGGTTACTTTTCAAATGGGAACAAATGTAACTGTTCCAGTGTATTTCCGATCTAATAATAAAATAAGAGAAAATGATGGTCATTATTTGTTTGAACACATGGAGTAGTTTTAGGCCCCAAACATCTGCAGCTGTTCGAAAGTATTGCTGTAACAGATCCTCCCTCTCCATCTTTGTGCTTGCAGGCCACCATCTGCACCAAACTATGCGCACAATTCTTATGGGGTTTCCCTGCATCTTGTAATAGGATAAGGACATAAACAGAGCAGTCACGTTGAACCAAAAAGTAATAATAAGCAGCTTTTGTCATCACAGCCTCACAAAAAGAGCATTCCCTTTTACTCTGCTGTGCTTTTCTGTTTTTTTCCGTTGAGACAGCCACCTATTTATGCTCAACAAATCTTGAAGGAAGGGAAAAAAATCCCACAATAAAAGTTGCTCAGCTCCAACTTCTCTATGAAACATATAAAGAAGATGCTTCCTTCTGATGGCTGTTTGCTTCACAAAGAATACCACTGCAGCACATGATCCGCACTCCTATTATGCCAAATCGCAGGGTGCATAATAACTTTTAGAGATTTACATAGATTAAACCCGGTCCCTTTAAATAATTCCGGAAAACGCTTGGCAATAATATTTTACTTTGCATCTACACTAATCTGTAAATTATGGACTGTAGGTTTGAAATGCAAGGCTGGGAATGAGTGAGAGCGTTGGGCAGAGTTTCCTCGAGCAAAGTAAAGACAGAGTGGGGGGAATCCGTATTAATAAGTGTCTCTCAAAGTAGGATTTTAAAAAAAAGCAATTGTTTTGTGGAAAGAGTGCTTGGTAAATGTGGCTTCAGATATGCAATGTAGCGGTCTCCCTTGACAGGCTGAAATGTTTCAAACACTGCCTCTCTCTCTCTCTCTCTCTCTCTCTCTTTTTTTTAAGAAAGTAAAACTTTACTCTGGACATTTTGTTCCAACAGTTCAGTTTCCAATATTAAAAGTATGGTCCTGTCTAACGTGCAGCCTTTTCTAGAGAAGCAAATTAGATTATCATAATAATGAGACAATTATTCCGCTTCTGTGTTACACTCCACTGCACTGAGGAACAGAGAAATTCTAAACTTCTTTGTAGTGAAGCTTTTATGACAGTAATTACCCCCCAAAAGTGAGTCATTAAAAGCTTTGGTGTTTAGTTTTTTCTTGAAGATAAAGCTAATTAATATTACAGGGTATTAATGAGCACATTCTTCTCAGGTCTTACAGTGCAAACATCTAAACCCATTATCACAAGTTAGTATTAGATATCAGGGAGCGATTTAAGTCTTTGGGGACTCGAATGTGAAAGATGAAACCAGGGCTAAGAGCAATGTATCAAGGACCAGCCGGCACCGGCTGCAAATGTTGATTTTCTATATATTTACTATTTCAGCTCCTCCTTCCAGTCTCTCCACTGATACATGTGGGCTGCCCAGCACAAATCAACCGGCCTAGTTGCAGTGATGGCTATTGTGTATCGCACACAACTGTGCTTTATTTTGGGGGAGGGGTGTATTTTTTGTATCCTAGTAGCTCATACATCTGTGGATGTATTTCTTGTTTCTTTCAGGTTTGGTTTCAAAACAGAAGAGCGAAGTGCAGAAAACAAGAGAATCAACTTCATAAAGGTAGGTCCGTGTCAGAGAAGAGGAGGAGGTTGGAGAGACGTGTCGGGGTGCGGATCCCCCCGGTCGAGGAGCAGCTATGGGCCGGGATAGGACGCATGTCCTCACATGAAAGCGGCGTGGGAGGAGGAAGTGGGTGGGGGGTTGAAAGACAACCGTGAACACTCCTGACCTACGGGTGATCAGTGGCATCAAACTCGGCTGCAAGTGGGAGCAGGGAAGCGGGAAATGTCCGCGTGCGGGCCGGAGCATGCTCCCCGCACTGCCACTGATGCCTGCCT